ACACGAAGCTTTGGAATCCTTGCCTCCAAGGAGCAGCCTGGTTTCATCTCTCTAGGACAAACGTTTGTTCTCCCAGCAGTACATGGTATATTCAGTACTGAAGTCCAGCACCACAGCTCAAAGACATCAATTCTTCTTCCATCCCTAGTCATTTCCAACTTTCTGACACATAGCAGGTAACTGCAAAGACTGTGACCTGGATCAGGCACACCTTAGTCTCCAGACTGACATCGTTGCTCATCAATACTCAGGAGAGGTCCCTGACAGCAGACTTCCCCAGTATAATTTGTCCTTTTATTTCCTGGCTGCTGGTACCAAGAGTGTTGATTGTGGAGCCAAGCAAACTAAAGCTGTTTACAATCTTATTCCCTTTTCTATCTGTCAGGGTGCTGCCCATTGGCCCAGTGATGAGAATTTTTGTTTTCTTGATGTTGAGCTTCAATGCATATTGAAGGCTCCAGTCCTTGATCTTGTATAACAAACACTTCAGGTTCTTCTCAGTTTTAGGAAGCAGGGTTATGTCATCTGCATAACCCAGTTTGTTGTTGAGTCTTCTTCCAATCCTGATGCCACATTTCTCCTCATAGAGCCCAGCCTCCCATATCTGTTCTGCTATAGAATGAAAAGCGATGGAGGTAGGACACATCCCTGATGTATACCCTTTCGCGATTTAGAACCATGCAGTGTCTGTTCTGACGAACATTTACAAGTTTTGCATAAGCACAGACAAATGTTCTGGGATTTCCATTCTTCTCAGAGTCAGCCACAGTTTGTTGTGATCCACACAATCTAATTAATTCCTTTGCATAGTCAATGAAACACAAATAGACATTTCTCTGATACTATCTGCTTTCAGGCAAGATCCATCTAACATTAACTATAATACTATAATATTACCACTACTACACACAGTCTCTTCTAAACCTTGCCTGCACATCTGTTGATGAACTGTTCCAATCATTTTGGGATAATTTTCAGCAGAATCTTGCTTGCATGTGATACTAATGATACTGTTGGATAATTTCCACTTTCTGTCGAGTCATCTTTCTTTGGAAAGGGAACAAACAGATCTCTTAGAGTCAGTTGGCTAGGTAGTTGTACTCCAGATTTCTTGGCACTATGTGGTTTAAAATTAAGGGTGTCAGGGTTGTATTCTTTCTTCATACCTGTTCAATCTGTATGCTGAGCAAATTATTCAAAACCCCAGACTCGGTGAAGAGCAGTGTGACATCAGGATTGGAGGGAGACTCATCAATAACCTGTGTTATGCAGATGGCACAATTTTACTTGCTCAAAGTGAGGAGAACTTGAAGCACTTGTTGCAAAAGATCAAAGAACATAGCCTTCAATATGGATTGCCTCTCAATGTCAAGAAGACAAAGATTCTTACCATTAGACCCATAAGCAACATCATAATAGTTGAAGAAAAGATTGAAACTGTCAACAACTTCAGCTTACTGTATAACGCCATTAACACCCTTGGTATGAGCATTCTGGACGTCAGGAGATGTATTGCACTGGGAAAACCTGCATTTAAGAACTTCTATATTATTGAAGAGTAATGATGTCTGTCTGTGAAGTAACACACAATAGTTAACATATCTCAGTTTAAGAAGAAAGATTCCTTAAGCCTTTATTTCAGGATCACTAGAAATGGGTTTGATTTGAAGAAAATGTTTTCAGATCTGAAAAATAGGTATTTACGGTGGTACAAACAAGTGGTATTGTCAAGATTGAAAGGGTTAGAGTTTTCTGGAGCCTTCTTCATTGCACAGAAGAATAGACAACATCTAAAGGATGAATTTGACCAAAAATTCCCAGACTTTTGTTTAACTTTTCTTCTATTGAAATAATGTTGAATAATATTGAAATATTGAATGGCCAAACAAACAGGCTGACTATGATTGGGACCTCCTTCTACTTGAGATGATATTTAGTCCTGACCAGTTAGGGGATGAATAGAGTCTTGGTCATGCATTGCAGTACCTGTTCGACAGCTCAGAAAGGTTGGCTGTTGTGGATCCAAGAGAGAATACTAGATAAGCCTAATAATAATAATAGGTAATAACAGATGATAATAATTTTAGAGTATCCTTCTGTAAAGCCCAGTGGCAAACCATCTTGTTTGGAATCAACTGTTTGCAGTTGGTTTTGATGACAGGAAGCAGCATAAATTGTAAACACACTTCAGAATGATTAGCAAACACAACAGGGATCAGTAACCCTAGAAAAGTTATAGGTGTTAACTGTGAAAGAATTTCTCTAGAGCAAGGTAAAGGAAACACGATGGGAGAAAAATGGCCACAGAGAACCAGATCCCAAGAAATGGATTGCTTCATAAACTCATTATTCTGAACTGGCTTACAGTTGACATTCAGTTGGGTTTTCTGAGACTCATTTGGATGAGATGAGATCGCCTTCTCTTTGCTTAAAGTTACTGGTGGGTTAGAACTGGCAGAGAAGTCCACCCTTCAGGTCAGCAGCACATCTTCCTGGACTCCGACATCAGAGTGCCCTAAGAAATGAACTGGTCAGATTAAAACATCTACCTGTTAAAGCTGGGGTACTTAGAATTACCCAGGTGCTCTCGCCATACCTCTTCAGTATGTATAAAGAGCAAATGATTTGAGAAACTGGACTCTATGAAAAAAATACTACATTCGTTTTGGAGACTCATCAGTAACCTTTGGTATGCAGATGACACAACCTTGTTTGCTGAAAATGAGGACTTGAAACACTTGCTACAGAA